GTTATCCTGCATGTGCCGTGTGATGGCACTCCCATTCTTTGAATGTAAAACTTCTATCAACAACAAACTTGGGCTCAGTTACATCCTTAGACCATTATAGCAACATAAATGCTACCACTCAAATATGTAGATTTTCAGCCACGTGGCTGAAATTTCTATTATATCTACTCTCAAAGGCATAGATCAGGATGTCCATGGATTCTCTTTCCACCTTTCCTCTTAAGCTCTGTGGAATGCACTGAATTGCATAAATCAGTTATCAAATGAATACTGTTCACTGTTTCTGTCTGTCCATGTGACCAGTTGTAGCAGCAGGCTGCCAGCTGTCAAACTTGGTTAAAAAAGCATTTCATAGCTGGCCACTGCATATACTCTTTTGGCAGCAATGTAGGATTCAAGAGAGTGACAATGACCATGATGGAAAAGTCTCCTGCTCCATGCTCCAGAATGTCTTCTGAGCATGACGTAAACCCAGTGAGAAGACACAGGTAAAGGAATTGAGGAACTGGTAAAGCCCTGTGCAGAGCAAAGGTCTGCCTGTATCCATGAAGAATGTGAAAAACATTTGGAGTACCCTGTGTGCTGCTGGTAAAGTAGATTACTGTTCCCTTTCAAGGAGCAGCTTGTGCAGTGCTGCACGAACACTGTCTTTTTTCTGTGGAGGCTTTGTTTAACGATAGTGACCCATACTTCTGCAGAAACCTCAAGCTATTCTCACCAAGTGATACATGAAAAGCAATGATAACGCGGAAAATGAATAAAGCTATTAGAAAAGGCTGGAGAGCAAGATCAGCAGAAACACACAGAGCTGGGCTGGTGTGATACAGTGACAGCAGCAAATCTGTAGACTCAGTGATTAAGTCACATGAACATTTTGCATGTACTGAATGTTTAACCTGTCTCTAATGTCTTTCTATCCCTCAAGATATTATTTACTTAGGAGAATTTTTGAGTGAATTTATTCAGATGCACAAATCAAATTTGTTAAACCTTCTTATTATCACAGTCTGAAATGAGACAGAGAGTCTTTCTTAAAGCTTCTCGTGAAGACACTCTGTAGTTGTTACCTCACCTTCAGTAAGAGTAGGTAAAAATGAGCTGGTCCACAAAACCTCAACTTCCCTTTTACAGCAGAGTTTGTCGTGTGGAAAGCTTTTCTCACATTAACCATGCTACTTGGAGTAGAAGTCTGGAGAAGGAACTTCTTGTAATATTTCTTGTGGAGAGGTGGCAGAAAGGTAATTGGTCAAGGGAAACAGAGCGTTTCAACCTCTATTACATATTTTTTTTGCCCTGCTGCCATTGTGATCTTAAACCAGGCTCCTCACTTTACCTGGCCATGTAACTTTGTTACACAAGTGTTGTACAATGCTTTTCCTCTTCTCTACCCACCTTTATGATAACCATTAAACCAAGGAGTAACTCAAGAGTGTAACTGTCACAGCTAACCTTTCTGCCCCAGCCCCGTTTTGGGCTGGGTAACTTGTGTTGGTGTCTACCTGTTGAGATTCAACCAGCAAATGCTTTTGGAGCCTAGGACTTACCTCACGTCAGGCTCTGCGGTAGCAGCGTGTAGCGGCAACCTCCCATTTTTGTCGGGTATGTTCTGCTTAGCACCATTCCTGAGCAGGCTGACACAGCCTTCCAGCCAGCCCTAAAAAAAGAAATTAGGGTGTGTCAAAGAGGAAAGTGAAATGCATCAGGTCAGATTTTTGCATGGTGGTTCTGGCATCTGTGTGTGACTGTAGCTGTTTCTGCCACTGGAGAAACTGGTCTTTTGTTTCCCCAGTATAGGCCACTCAGCACTGAGAGCAGTTCCCCTTTGGAGTCTGAGTCTCAGACTAGCTCAGCCATCCACTTCTGTCATAAGGTGTTTTATTTACACTGGATTTTGTTTTTCTGCAGCTGTGGCAAGTACCGACTGAGTAAACAGTGATTAAAAACACGCTAATTCCTTTATCACTAGCAAATGCTATACATATTCCTGCATGTGGATTTAATTATACTAGGTCAAACCAAGAATATGAGCACTTAATCTCATTTCCTTTAAGAGATTTTAGCAGGGATGGCAAATCAATACTAAAAGTCTTAGAGTGTGGTTTTATAAATATTGTGGCAGAAGTTTGAATTGGTGACAACATTAGACTGAAAACAGCACCAAAACAGATGGGATGAATCAGTTTTTGGACTAAAACTGATGATCTCTATTCTCTCTATTGATCACCTCAACAAAAAGCCAAGCAAACAATCTGGTTGTGAGTGTATAAATCTTCCAGCATACACTTAAGTCCCAGGGAAATCAAGCATGTGTTTTGTTCAAACCTCCCCAGGCAATCAATAAAGACTGTTTTCTCCTGTATGAGCTATGACAGGTTGGCATCACCAGCATTTATAAGGAAAAGGTGTGGAATAATGGAGTCAGAACATCGCTGTTGGTGCTCCTGGTGGAAGTACAAGACCATAGAGCTCTGCTTGTGAGTGGGACTGTGGAGCTCTGCAGGATTCAGTTCTCTGGACAGACATGACAGCCAAATGTTCTCTAGACCTCCTCTGATTATATCCATCACAGAAACGGAAACGGAAACTTAGAAGCCTGGGTGGTTTAAATCTTTTCCAGTAATTTCTTTTCTTTCCAAAGAACATTTTTTCCCCTCTGGGAAAAGAGAAAGGAAAAGAGGAGCATGACACTAATTATGGGATTTTTTAAAAATATCTGGCAGACAAAATGTTTATTCTCAAGTAAGTGGGGCGTGCTCCTTGCACTGAGATTGCCTTTTTTGCTATTTTCTACACTTATTTTCTGGCTGAATGTTGCATAGCTGAACAGAAGCTTTGTTTTGCCCTGAACTTGCAAGAAGTTGAATGGAAGGGATGTGATTTAGCTAGGCTGCCACCATATCTGTTTCAATGAATTGGCAGATACTCAGCTGTAACTCATACAGTGAACATGGGTGACCATTCCTTCCTCCTTTCTGTCCAGCTAATAATGGAAGCCCATGGTCAGAACCTCTGCCCAATTAACTTAATCCCTGTCCTCACTCTGAATCTGGAATGCCTTCCAGCAAGGAGTACATGACTAAGGATAAGAGGACCATCCTTGAGTGCTTCAGACAAGAAAGCACCACATCTCCCTTCCCAAACTTCTCAGTGGGATATCTGCCCCTCTGATGACCTGCGTGTGGGTTGTCTGGGGGTTTGGATTACTTATGATCTGAGTATCTGCACTGGCACCTGCAGCACCCTGGACTTAACCTGGCCATCCAAGGTCCAGCACTACAGTGAAAACAAGCAACACCCTGGCTCATGTGGTGTGCAGGAAAACATGCATGCTGACCATCAGAAGCTGAGATAGGAATGTCGTCTCTGGAGCATAAAGATGGGACGCTGGCAGAGGGAGGGGAGAAGGTAATGTGCATATTAAGAACAAGAGGGGACTTTCCAATGCACAGAAACAAGTAGCTTTCTTGAAACCACACAGATAGATCCCCATACCATGCATTAATGTGTAACCTTAAAGAGGAAGGACACACTGAAAAGAGTCCTGATCCTTTCCTAATAATAATTGCTTCCAGCTGTGGATTATAGTGAAGTGTACAATTGTCTAGAACCACATTTTTCACTTTTTTTTTCTGTAGTATAAACAGTAATCTCAATTGGTTTACACATTTACTCCCTTCTCTATATTTATCTCTCCAAACTCCTCCCCCAGGTTATGGTACCAGATAAGTTGCCAGAGATAAACTGGTACGTCCACAAGCATCTTGAGTGTTAATATTGGCTCCCATCTTCAACAGAAGCTTCACTGTATCAACCTGGCGTCCTGATACAGCATGCATCAAAGGCGTGCAACCTGGGGAAGAAAGTCAGATGTTCTTTTACAATTCTTATTTTGTCAAAGCCATAAGAGAGGGATATTTTCTTACTTGCTAATGTTAGCACTGGCAAATTAACAAGTCCTTGCTCTGATAACCGTCCAACAGTTGTACTCAGCTTTTTGCAGGCAGGAAGTAACTGCTGCTCCAGTTGCTGACCACTGATTTTAAAAAGAGCATGACTTCATTAGCAAAAGCCTTGCCTCATTAAGTCTACTTCTGGAGGGAAGAGTGTTTTTCTGTTCACAAGTTACCACTAAGAACTGTTTTCTTTGTACAACATTTTGGAGGCTGATAGTCCTCAGAGTGACTAGTAGGCAAATGGTACTTGGCTAATTTTCTCAACCCCCAGCTTCATTCTGTCTGTCTCTATTCAAGAAATATATGAAATCAAGCCCTGTCCCATGCAAAGGTGTATATCTGTAAGTTGATGCTTCATGTAGACAACAACTTATTTTAAAGACTGGATTTGCTTTAGAATATTTCCTTTTCTGTTGTCCTGAGAACTTGTTTTATATTCTGCGAACAATTTCTGTACTGGAAAAAACCTGAAATGTATATTCAAACCTAATACTCAAATTTCGTCATGAAGTATTACATTTTTTAATTGCTTCCTCTTCCTTCCATTCTATTAACTGCAAAATAATGCAAGAGATTTTCCGGCAGAATCTGACAAATCAATTTTAAATGACTAAGCTGGGAATAAACATGAATATTAGAAACTATAAGACTACTAGAAACTTCAGACACAACTGAAGAATAATTATTGTTACTGGATTCAATGAGACTCCTGAGGAAATGCACGCTACTCAACCTGAGATTATGCAGACTCTGCCATATGTGCAGGATATGAGCCACATGTTTTGCCTTGTATGACTGGTCTTTAGTTACATTTGTATGTACAACCTAGGAAACAAGTTTATTCTGGAGCTGAAACACTTCCATTTGATGATCAGTCTATCTCTACCCAGTGCCCTTCATGCCTTTCCTATTAAAGATCTGGACTGAGAGCAATTTAGCTTGATTAAGCATTTTCACTACTGACCAGTAGATGTTTTAATGATAACAGTTAGGATGTCTGGTTTAAAATGTAGGAAAAATTGGTAATATGGTGAAAGTTGGTAAAGATTAGAATGGACAGTGTTCATATGGACCCTTTTAAAAGAAATTGCAATTTAAAAGATGCTTTTGAATCAACAAAGTCTTTCTTGAGAGAAGCCTCCAGAGATCTGTGGCTCTAATTCACTTGGGAAATAGATGCATATAAAACCCAGCTAATGAACAGCACTTAGTAGTAATGGTAAATAGTAATCCAAACATAAAATGAAAGAGAGCACCCTATCACAGATAAAACAGATTATTTAGTTCATTGCACATTGTACAATCAACATTTTGGCAAACAATTATATGACAAAATCATTCAACCTGTACCTGTATATATACTTTTTAAGTACAAAAAACTGGAACCCTCTACTGTAGAGATGTGCAGAATGTATGACATTTGGCTTTTATAAAAAAATATTATTTTTCATTCCCTGAAATTACTACAATTTCTGAGCATCTCCCTAAAGAAGATAAAATAGATTAATGTTAAAGTACTGTCTGACTATTTGTATTCATATAAAAAAAATCTTACAAGTACAGGGGAAAAATGATCCAAACTGAGCATTTCCAGTGGATGTTCCATATTCTCCTACTAAATATAATTTCCTGAACACGAAAATCAGTATAAAAATTGGAAAAGTTAATTGCAAGATGAAGCAACTTGTACCCCGAGAACAAGCTCAGCCTTCCTTACCCTCACTGTCGCAGCACTCCAGGATGGAAGGATCCTCTCGAATCACTGCAGTCAGTGTGTTCACATCGCCATTAGCTGCTGCTTGGTAAACGACAGTCAAGTCAATCTCTTCTGCTGCATCACCTGCAGGGGATGAGTGTGTCTGTGAGTGAGCCGAGAGCAAGTACATACGATTAACAGCAAAAATAATGACACTTATGTTTTAATGATTATACCACTTGAAGTGGAACAAAGTGTATCTAAACAGCACTGTGGTTTTTGTTAGTCATCTGAAACTTGTTTTTCATCATAACTTCTTCCAAAAACTGTCAGACATAGTCACTAAAAGGACATAAGAAAACTTCTGAAAAGTTTCCACCTTTTATAAGAAATCATACAAACATTAATATAACATGACTTGAGAAACAATGAAGTAATAACTGAGCTAGCTCATAATATCGCTGGCTACGCTTTATGAGAGGATGAAATCAGGACACTGGTGTTTTCAGTTTCAGTGTTATCCTTGCACCAGTCAGCAGACTGAGGCTTTTCACTTCCTTCCCCTGTGTTGTCCAAAGGAATTATCTTCTCAGGAAAGTGAACTTCTGGCAGCAATAGTTTGTCTTAGTGTTTCCTGCAAAAAGGAAAGGTGGACTATTGCCTGGAACCCAGAAGAGGTTTATTTTGCTTGGCAGTTACAGTATGAGATATTATTTAAAGCAGATGCCTTGCAGGACCTGTTTCTGAGCATTCCTCAGGTTTTTGTTTCTAGACAAATTAATGTGATGTTTCTCTCTTTGCTTCTTTGCTTGTAACTTCCTTCCAGATTGGTCAGCCCATGCTCCATGTGCCTACACATCCTTTGGCTTCAAGTGGACTATTAACCTATTAACCTCCAGGAGGTAAAAGGGTTGATTTTTTGGTGCAGGGTCGAATCTGATGTTCTATATATGTATTGATGGTCAGGCACAGTCTCACGTTTAATTTTAAAGACTTTCTGATCTCTGTTAACTCAAAAGGAAGCACAGCTATAGTGAGCTGTGCTGTTCACAGTGGCTGAGGCTCGGAGCTACAGAGCATAACATTTGTCCAGCCACTGTGCTACCTTGTTAGCAGGAGAAAGTAAAATTGATGCCTAAAGCACACCATAGAGTTGATCAGAGGAAGGATGGATTAAGTGACTGATGAATTCTCCTTACTGTCATGTCTTCTGGAGATGACATAACTATGTAAGCTATGCAGGAAAAAAGGGATAAGGTTTAAAGAGAATTTGAAAGGTTAGTAAAAAGTCTTTTTCATAATCAAATAATACAGTATTATTAATGCATTGATATAAATTACATTTTAAACATTGTCATATGTATTTTTGAGTGATAAGAGATCTTCAAAGAGAATTTTAAAGTATTAGTCTCTCTATTCAAATTGTGATCAGATACTGTCGCTGCTGAAAACTGCATGAGCTCCATGCTGGAGTTACAGCCCTGCATAATTCCCCACGTGTGACCTTCTCTTTCTGGGATGCAATTGTTGGTCTGGACTTCAAAACCTGGCTGCCATGGAAATGCAATCATCTCTTACTCTGGAAAAGGTGAGTCTGTCAAAGCTGGAGCTCTGGTTGTGGGCTTGGGAAAACTAGAAAGTTACTGTTAATTCTGCCTTCACCAGTGCACAGGTTCCCTCTCCATCCCTACTGAACTGAAGATAACTTAATTAATTTCTTCTAGCTGACCTCTTAAATTACATGTTTGATAAAAATGGTAAATTAAAAATTTAACTTGATTTTTATTCTATTGGGGAGTCTATTGCTGTGAATTTAGCTCAGAAGCTTTGACCTGTGTGGCTGGGAGACTGGGAGAGACTAAAAGTCATTGTCTCTGGAGAGTCATCATCAGTAACTAGTATATGAAAAAAGACATCTGTCTCTATGTATTCAAAAGAAGTGAGATGTGCTGACTGCTCTCACAACTGAGCAAAGACATGTTCATAACAAGCTCAGGTCTGAGCTAGGCCCTTACTCAAAAAGGGGTGTAGTATTGGCTGAGTGGAAGGCAAGGAGACAAGGCAGAGGTTCATCAGTTGTGCTGCTCCTCTTTGCCAGTCTCTAGGGGGACACAGGAGGTGCCAGCAACGAGCACCAACACTGCTCCCCTCACAGCCGCATGTCGTGGTTACTATGTGGAAATGGTGTGGAGAAGATGCTGCTGGCATTGGGAAAGAAGCCATTAAATATACTGAGATAGTGGGTCAAAGCAGCCCCCACCTCCTTTTATGCATTACACATATCAATTTTGTGCTTTCTGCTGTTTAGCCTTGCAAGTACAGTTAAATTTTACTGACATGAGTCAGGAGCAAAGCAATGCAGCCATGAAAGGAAACTCCTCATCTCCTGAGCAGAGCAGTTGCTTACCTGGAGGGCAGGATGGCAAGAAGATGAGGACATGGATGCACACCTGCATGTGGGTACCTGACTGCCTCTGCCCTTTTTCAGCTAACTAAAAGCAAAATGCCCTTGTGCCTTTGCTTGTTCTGGGCTGAATCTGCTTTCCCCAGAGCAATTGTCCTCCTGTAGGAGAGGAAGCAAAACTCTGAATGAATGGATGGATGGATGGATGGATGCATGAATGAAGAAGTTTTCCCCATGCCTGGTCTCACAGAACGTAGGCTCCATTCCTGTTAAGGGACAGTGGCATAAAGCCACATTCAAGATTCACACTTCCCCACACAAGGGTCCTAGCTGTCAGAATAAGGAGAGGCAAGTAGACCAGGCGAGGGAGACTGGGCCAGGAAGAATTGATGAGCACATGTATTGTGTATCTGACATAAAATAGACTGACATTAATTCCATTTCTGTAGGATGACACGATTTCAAGTGGGGTGCCTTTAACATGACCTGTGTGGCTTTGGGTACGAGGCAAGGAGGAAGACAGATGCATGATCTTCTGATGCTTCCCATGACAGGAAGCAGGAAATGACAGGAGGGCTTGGATGCCATTTATGCTGGATGCACGTGGCTCCAGGTGACACATCTCCCATTTCACCTTCCTCCAGCTGACCCTCTCAAGGAAGGAGGGGCATGAGTAAAGCTTGTAGATCATTTCTTTTTGCAGACACCATCAGAGAATAGGTGTTCTGCAGAGGGCTACAGTGAGGCACTGAGTGCTTGTGTCTCCCTCTGTGAGCTTACTCTGCTGGGGAACTTGTCTGCAGATGGATCACGAGCAGCATGCGGGATAAAGGAATTGTGAACAGCCAAATGCCTGACCCTCCATCTTCAAATATGGTAGTGTTACTTCATTTCTTATCTTGCAGCTCTGTAAATGCAAGTGAGTACTGGTTCCATTTCAGGCACATTTTACATTTTATTTTGGAAATCTGCTGTGTGATTGGTGAAAGAGAGCTGTCTGTCAGCTTGGGGAAGGCAGAAGACCCACCTAAGAGCCTGCATATGGAGCAAAGGCAGGGAGAAACTGCAGGCTGGCTCAGCAGTGGCTTAGAAAGGTCTGGAAGAATCTTAGTGAGCAAAGAAAAAATGACATGCAGGGTCATGATGTAATCTTTTGTAGCTAAAATCCTCAGAAATAATCAAAAGCCAATCTAGCCGAAATAAGCTGTTTTAAAAGCATGTAATTTCTTTAAGACAATCTTTGGTTGGAAGAGTGGGTATATAAAGAAAATTTCAGAATGATCACAGGATTCAGAGCAATGAAATTACACTGCTTGCAGCATAAGTTCTTCTCTGTCTCTCCTATGAAGAATGCATGTTTTACGCAATTTGTGATGTTGGCTGATGTGTCATTTTACAAAGTGCATGCTAGACGTAAGTAAGTACATGCTCTCTCTTGCATAGGATTTTTAAGGTCTAAATAAATTTGCTGCAGCTTAGTGCACATGGTCTTGACAATGACTGATTTAGACCTTGCTAAAATACTAAGTTTTGAAAATTGAAAGCTGGATAACAGGATAATTTATGTTTATTGTGAAAAAGAAATATTTATGTAGATAATTTACTCCTCTCTTTCCTATAAACTCCCTTACCTCCACCAGTATCCAAATGCTATATGTGATTTCTCACAGCTTTTTATCAAGACGCAATCCTAGGCAGTTTATTGGATTTAAGCATGTCAGTGTCAAGGGTCAGTGGGAGGTGGATGAGTGCAGTTTTTGGAAATTGTAACTCACTCTCTAATATCATGGATTTATTGATTGCTTAATGAAGTAATCATCCCTGTGTGTTCCTGGCTGTGAATTTACTAGTCCAGGCTTTTGTCTAGCTTCTCTGTTTTAAATGGTGAACTTTTGAAGGCACAACACACATCTTAATAGCACCAAGCAGTATTAGGAGGGAAGGGGTTTCTGATATTGCTTAGCTTCTTTAAGTCCCTCATTGCTACTGCTGTTACTATTAATAAGTATTATAAGGTGTTAATGAACAGTACCACAGGAAGCATTACAAAGAGACAGTATGATTTTCAAGCCTTGAATGCTGTTTTTCTGATCTGTATCTGGGACAGTTTTCTGATGCGTGGGGTGGAGAAATGGTTTGTAGGGACCAACAGGTGTTGATTTGGTGTGTTTGAATGCTAGCTTGTATTATTCCATTGTTATGAATTGCTCCAATGAAAGACATTCACCTTCCCCTTGCTAAAAAAATTATGCCTGCTTAGGTTAGTAATGTGCCAAGACATTAACATGCCATTTAGATAAAATCCACTATATGCTGTCAACTTTGAATAGAGCTTTTTTTGCTTGATAACCATTGGGTTCAGTGTCCCATTTCTGTGTGTTGTCTGCTCCTGCTGCCCATCCATCTCCCAGGCAGCTAGCAGGGAACAGAAACAGCAAGCCACACATCATCTAATGAGCCAGCATCCTTGCAGTGGTGGCAGAGGGGAAATGACGAGTTTATCTGGAAGAGACTGTCTTTCTGGGGAGGTGCTGTGAGTGCAAAGTGACATTGGGCTGGAGATGATGCTGGACAGTAGTAAGGATGGGTCAGTGCAGAGAGGAGCCTGGCAGGAGGAGGGGATGCAGAGTAGGAGCAAGGGGAGGTACAGGCAGATGTCGTCTCTCAATTCTCTCACTTCTGTCTAGATTAGGTGGTTTGGGTCAGTGGTCTCCTGCATTGCTGTCTGACCTATTACCCATCTGGAGACTTGACTTCTCCTTCCCCAGCCCTGGCTGTATTCTCATACCATTTCCATTGGCTTCCTGCAGCTATCCCCACAGCACTGAGTGTGGAGGGTTTCCCCATCGCTCCCCAGTCTGAGCGCTGCTGGCTTGGCCTGTGTCACAGAGCATACTTATAGTGCCTGCAGAAGGAAAGCTTGAGAACAGCTGTTTGTAGCTGCAGAAACTCAGTCAGCCCCATACCCCTGTTGGGGAAAATGCTCTTTACGTCTTTTACCCATGACCTAGGAACATCCATCTCTATTCCTACAGTACAGATCCCCCATCTACTGTTGAACTTCCCTTCCTTCTTTAGCCTTGCTGGTAGTATTTTTTGTCTCTTACCACTCAGTTTTGCTTGATGGCTTCCCACTCTTCCCCATCTACTCAGAGTGGGGTCCTGCCTGGGCTGGTGTAGTCCAGTGGTCTCAAGATTTGCTTCTGACTTTGAGCACTGCTGTGGCTGAAGGGCAGCCCTAAAACCACTGCTTTTCATGGAACCTATTGACTTTGAGATGACCACCTATGTGGCAAGCACAAAAGTACAACCTGTGTGACTCGGTTGCCCAAAACACACCACATTTTTCTACAGTCAGCACCTTCGCTGTGGGGTCAGCATGGCCGTGTCAGCTTGGTGTGCACTGGGAACTGCAGCCACTGCATACAAATTATTTGTCAAGCTGACTTAATGAGAAATTTGTTGCAACATGGATTAAAAAAAATGACAGCTTCCTGCTTTGGGAACATAAAAGGAATGACGCTACATTCCTCATTGTGGATTAAAATGTAAGACATAAAGGCTTCTACTGACAAAAAAACCACATGAAATTCAACCATTTAACTTAAAAACAGACAATAAAGAGACATTGTATTTCTATAGCAACCTTACCATGTAGAAAAATCTTCATATTGGGGCATTTAAAGATATCTTAAATTCACAATTATGGCAATATTTATCTATAGAGCTATGATTTGCTGAATCAAAGTCAATCGCTTGTCAGTATATAGCCATTTTAATATACACAAACTAGTAGACTTGTGAAAATCAGCTTTTCTTAATTTTTTACTCCATTTTAAACTGATCTGTTTGCTAATATTGCAGTTGTATATATATGTTTGTCTCCATATAAAGACTAATATGTAATATAAATAGTAAATACAAACATACATCTCTTGATGCTAAGTAACAGCAATCAGATGTTGTTGCTATTTTGCTGAAAAATTTTATTTTTAAAAGTCAATGTAGAAATAGGCTGAAATATCCATGCCTAAAACCGATGGAAGAAATTCCTTTGTGTGTAACAAAAATAAACCTCTAGGAGACCTAATCCTTTTCCAGAATTTCTTGTTATTCATTCTGTCAAGTATTTTAGTACATTTGCATGAAAGTACCAGAGGATTTTGAAATTAGTAGCAAGTAACTTACCTTTGTGCTGATCGAACACTGATGAGGCACTGAAATCCATTGTGTCCTATCTCATTATTTAAAAGGACACCAGACAAATGCCACCTCCAGGGTTTTCAGGGAAGAATACCATGTGTTTCAGAAAACAGTGTAACGATAGCTGTCGCCAATCTTCTTGTCAGAGAATTAAACTTGCTTTACGGCTGCAGGTTGTTGTCAAGGCAAGGACATTGTCATTAACCCGATGGGAACAGTATATTCTGTTTGTTATGGGCCCTCTTACAATTACATTCCTGGAAGATTGACTGAGCTGCTGAAAAACGTCTTTGCTTCAGTGAGTGAAACTGCCTATGAGCAGCTCTGAGAGATGCTGCAGCTCATCCAGCCCCAGCAGCCGAGTGCTGCCCGTAGACAAACAAG